AGTATAGCGACAATAACGTTGTTTTTTAGACTGACTTCCAAGTTATGTTATGAGGTACTTGTGACAGTAAAGGAACATATTAATAGAAATCGTCTATTTTATTTACATACAAGAAAATATACTTACTTACAAGGTGAATCGGGGGTCTATATCTTTGTTTTATTTTTTTATTAAGTGCCGTAGTAATCTTTGATGCGTCTTGAGTATACTTCGTCCATTTTTATAAGGGTTTTGAATAATCAAAAAACTTAAGTCACTTAAATGTCAGAAAACTGGTACAAAACAGGTTTTTATTCTTGTAACATTTGAACTATTTAAATGTGTTATGGATCGTACCTGTTATTATTTTTACGACAAACATAGACCATATTTTTACTCACAAAAATTTGTTGAAAAGATTATATTTTATTTATGATACAAAGTTTTAGAAATTCAGCCATGCCAGTTAAATTCCAATAAACTCTGGATTTAAAATTCATTTTAAAGATAATAAAAGTATAAGTTAACCAATTGGTCTAAATATTTGATTCCCTTATACAGAATGTTTTGAATAATGTGTTCAAAATTGTTTTGCATCTATTTTTACAGTGCCGTTCGACCATTGTAAGTAGCAATGACAGTGTGTATTATGTATAAGGCACTTTTGTGCCCTTAGTATCAGCCAGTAAATATTATTAGAGCGATCACAAAAAAATCAAAATTAATTAAAAAGCTTAACACAAAATATACGTGAAATAAAAATAATTTATACATTTTTACATAATTATATGTGTATATATTTTTTTTTTAATTATTATTATTACTATAAAGATCACACAAGACTAAAGCAAAACAAAAAGTGAAATGCACATAAGAGCTTAATAATAAGGTTCAATCATTTCCACTCGTGAGTTCTCTAATTAAAAAAATTTTTTTAGAAGATGTTTTTTTTACGCCAGAACATCCTGGCTAGCTCGGCTTGACAGCAATTTCATTCGGGATCACGAAAAATCCCAGTCATCCTAAAATTGTTTTCGAGATAATGAAATTTCAGGAGAGACGAGACAACATTTGGAAAAAAAAGTTAAACGAGAAATACAGAAAAAAAATATTATCTCGCACAGGCCTACCGCAGATGTGTTGTTTTACTAATAAGTTTGTTTTTGCAAAAAAATTTTGAATAGCTTTTTCCAATGAGCTCTACGTAGTAACCCCAAACCTACGGAATGATACAAATTAAGGACAGATTACTACTACTAATAAGATTAGCGTAAGCTTTAGACAAAGCATGACGGCGAGAGACGGCAAAAATACACATCCACGCAAACTGCCTGGAATAATAATTTTTAGCATCTGCTTATAAACTAATAGCTATACGCATTTTCACACGCAGTACTTGTACAGGTGGAAAATTTAAACCATATGTGTACACACAATAGGGGAAAATTTTTGCAAAACAATTTTGAATATCCAGATGGCTGGGCAAACCTTTATGCTGAATCGAAAAGAAAATAATAAAAACAACGGCTGTTAGAGTAGAGCAGTCACCATACAATATCCTCGATGCGGATGTATATTTAATGTATTACCATTATCTTGATGGAAAAAAAACCTGACATATACACTCTGAGATTGAAAGAAAAAAAGGGGGGGGAGGGATACAATTTCATTCGATCGTCAGTGGGACATGTATACATGCACTACGGGCGTCCACTTCAGTGCACCGCTGCCCCGCAACTACCTAGTGTATGCGGGGATGCATTTCAATCATGCCACGGAGGAGAAAAATCTTTTGTCTTGACAACAGAACGAGGAAAATTTTACCTTGAATCTTTGTCAACGCTCTGGAGTCCCGCAATATTACGAGAATGGAATTTTTTCATTTTAGTCGCGAAACGATACCAACTTATACCGTTTCACTTTTCTCTCGAGTGCCATGCTGATACTTCCTCCCCCCCCCCTTTTAAGTTTGAAACTCTCGATTTTAGTATTCAACTGCACGGTTGTTTTACTTGACTTTCGAGTTGGTTCCAATGTTTTTCGACTCTCCGGCAACATAGTTAACTAAATTTTTTTTATGTTGATTGGCACAGTTAAGTATTATATACGTAAAGTAAGTACCTCGTGACCAACCATAGGGTTGAATGACTCAAAAATGGATTGACTAAAAATAATCCCACAAAAAAATCGCAAGGACACGTATCCTTCGTTTCGACACCTCTCGAGTTTGGCATTATTTACTTACAGCTTGAGTAACCTTTTCTTGCAGGGCATGCGTGTAACAATGATTGCGCCCTAAAAATAACACAATCCACTCACAGAGCTGAAAGAATAACACACGGGCACGCTTGTTTCAGTCTGTAACAACACGCGTTTAACCCACACGCTTATTTCGCTCTGCAAAAACGTAATTACACGAATGAAACGAAATAGCCGCAAGTCACCGTGTCCAACAGCAGACCACACGACGATGCTTTCAGCCTTGAACGCTTGGACGCTATAAGATTGAAAAAAAAAAAAAAAAAAAAAAACTACAAATCCTCCTAATAAGCGAAAAAACCCATAATTAAATTAACAGAGTCGTTGCAGAGTCGGAGAGCGCGACGACGATTAAAGCGAAAACTTGTTGTTTTGTTTCTCCCGCAATTTTAGTAGTCGACCCTCTTCTAGCTTTAAGCACAACGCGTCCTTCGTCAGCCGACTGCCGACCATTCGCCGCCACAAGAGCACCTCGCTGCACAGTCCCAGTCTCCACAAGCTCGTTCACCAGGGCTACCAGGGCCATCGCGGCGGCAACGCCAGGGACCTCATCTCGTCGTCCGAAAATTTAGGTGAGTCTCTCCCCTCAAACACGGGGGTTTTCTGACATTAAATATACGCAACGCGGATACCCGGTATGGCATAAGAGATTCAGCATTCAACGCAAAACCGCGGTAGAAATGATGACTCGTGGTCGGTTGTAAATCCGCGCTGTCATTGAAACACGACGAGTCACAGCTGAAATTAAAGTGCTGATTGATGAATGAAAAATTCAGAAACGTATAAGTACGGCCCTTTGGGTTATTGCAGGTGGCCAGCCCACGAGCAACAACGGCGGCGGGCAGAACAACACCAACGAGCCGAGCGGGGGTGGAGGAGGTCGGCAATTGAACGCGAGCTATTCCGAGGACTCCGTGACGGAAACGGCTCTGTCGAAAAGAAATTCCGACGGTGAGTATGTATACGGATACGTTGGTGTGGTTTGTATGCGCTGAGCGCGTGCCGAGGGAGGAGTGTGTTGTAGACGCGAAAATGTATCGTCTCGGTCTGCCGTCGCAATGTCTGACCACAGCCGGAGTTCATCTACTTACTCCACACCGGCTCGGATTAATGTTTCGCCCCGTTGCAGTACCGTTGGAAGCCCCTCCTGATATACATTCTCTTTCTCTCTCTCTCTCTCTCTCTTCTTTTTCTCTTGCTTTCTTTCTNGCATGCGACGGCACTACGCAAAGAACCCGAGTGAAACACATCCACGGATAGAGGCCCTCTAACGAAAATTATCGAGCAAAAAAAAAAAAAAAAAAACAGATGAGAAATCGGAGACTGGAACGAAAAAAGTACAAGTAAATGCGAGAAGACTGTTGTAAGCAAGATGTGATCAAGAAAAACATCGGCAGCTACAGTGACAACGTCACGGCAAAAAGCTTAACACCATGTACTCGCACTTTCGAAATTACAGAAAGGTGATGGAAAAGAATAGAAAAATTGTCTGTGATTTGTAGCGAGCAGCAACAGAAGAACAGCGGCGGCAGCAGCGACAGCTCAGAGTTTCGGGAGATCATCGTCGACCCTCGAGTTGCACGAGCTGCGCATTGACGGGCTGATCGGCCGGCTAGGTGAGACCTCGTCTACACTGCCCCTCGCACTTGCGGGCCTAGTATCTCCGCTACCACCTCTGCCGGAGCTTCTGGGGTCCCCGACTTCCCCGAATGCCTCTCCAACTTCCGAGAAGAGTACGGCCGGCTTATGTTTATCTGTATACGTATATGTGTGTCGGTATAGTGAACGACAACAAATTGTTTTTAGCATCAGAGTTTAGAGCAACGTCATATAGTTTACGTTGTACTGTACCGTTGACTTTAGAGCCAAAACCAGCACGCTAATCTAACTTTCTCTGTTTTTTATTTTATTTTATTTATTTTTTTTTTTTTTTTTTTTTTTGTACTGTGTATTACATCCCTTTGCCCTGCACGATTTTATTTAACGAGGCGCATATTTTTCTTACCCCTCGACATGTGATGATACGCAGAAAAAAATTAATAGTCTTTTGTACATCTGAGCTGACGTTCACCACATTATTAACTCTTGGTTTCTTCTTTTCTGCAATAATCCGTTCCGAGTAGAGGTTTTCCACGCAGAACTTTTGTGTCACAATTCATACAATAATTTCAAATGCGATTTATCTTGATGAGTTGCCAAATGCGTTCACAGCTATACAATGACAAAGAAAGTAATTCATTCAAAGCCATTAATTTAATCAAACAGTGTAGGCATAATTTACAAATTATTGTCGTGTTTAATCATACGTACATGCAGTCGTACACACTTCCATGGTTGTAACGCAAAAATGTGATTCCCCTAACGGTAATCCCTTTCATTTTCCCCGAAGTATACTTATGACATGTGTACGGTCCTCCCACATTTCCCATAAATCTTCTGAAACCTATACTTTACATTACATACAATAGTGTTACTCCGTATATCATCAGCTGCAGACAAAAAAATCTAGATCTCTTTTATGCAAAAAAAAACTCATTTTTCAAATATTTAGAATAATAAAGTTAAATGTAGGCGATTACTTGTATTAGAGAACCATGTAGTTTATTTGTTAGTAGATGGCTAGTTAATTTTTTTGCTTTTACTTTGTAATTTATAGTTTTTTTGAGACTTCCGACAGAGAAATACCATATTTTGTTGTAGAAACTCATGTAGTTTGTTTCCTAGTTCGTTTTTACAAATTTTTTATCGTTAATCATGATCTTCTGCTTTATTTATACTCACTACTATATTTAATATCTTTTAAATATTTTATTAAACTTTTCTTTGTGTTGAATATTTATATAGGTTTTGCCTTTTCTATTTCTTTCTTTTTCAGACCTTCATTAGTTCATATTTTTGTTTTTGTTCCTATTTGCTTTTTGTATTTATTTGACCTTTTTCCACTAAAAATTTGCTCATGAAATTTCCCTTTACCATTTTTTCGCGTCAAGCTTGTATCTCATTTCCACATCACTTTCACCTATTTTCTTTTTCATTGTCTCTCTTCTCTCCAAAATTCCCGAATCTTTCGTTCAAGCCATAGTGCGAAATTTCATTGTAGTAACCATCTCAACTAAGTACACCCCGACCATTTTCAAATTCATCGAAGAAGTACTCTCAATACCGTTCATCCCATCATGTCAATATTTAAACTATTTAAAAAAAAGACTTTGCTGACTAAGCTGGCGTTCCTCAAAAATGAGCCCCTGGAGTTTTAAATATCACTAAATCTAAAAAATCCTTAGATTATAGATTAAATTAAAACGAGAAGAACAGAAAGTCTTATAACTTAGTAAGTTAGGAATAGTAAGTGTAAAAAATATGATGACGAATATCCCCTTTTTATGGAAATTTTTAAGATAAAAAAAAAAAAAATTTCAAAGAAGCTTACAACAACTGAAATAAATAAGGGGATGTATGGCTACGAAAAAATCAAAAGTACGAGGGCCATTGTTCGAGTAGCCGCGTAATATATCGTTGTGCCGTGCATGCGACGGCACTACGCAAAGAACCCGAGTGAAACACATCCACGGATAGAGGCCCTCTAACGAAAATTATCGAGCAAAAAAAAAAAAAAAAAAAAAAAAAAAAAAAAAAAAAAAAAAAAAAAAAAAA